TTAGCTTAAGAAATAAGCTGATCTTTTAAGAACTATTCACTCCCAGGGGGAGATCAAGCTCTGTGACTCCACTAAAGAGGAGTCATTCAGGAAATTGTTTTAAAGGGAGCACTTTGAAGGCTTTCAAAGACAGAGAATAGCTATTCTGCTTCTTGATTTCTAAAGATTTTAAACAGCTTTTTTTCCCTTGCTGTTAACAACGTTAAGGCCACCCGACTGGACCGCTTTCATCTTTTGACTTCCGCATGCTGTTTATTGTTTTCTGTTCACCAGTCCTGAACGCTGCATGTGCCAAAACCTTACACATCAGTCTGATAGACATAATCAACCACCTCTCTATTTGTGACCACCTGACTCGGAAAGACATGAATACATTGGAAAATATACAAAATCAATTCCAAATAAACAATCGTCCTGCTTCTTGATTTTAAGAAACTGTTTCTCTTTAAGGGTAGTAGAACATCCTGTGGTTTTAATAAAATGATAGGTTTTTTTATAAACACAATAGCCACTACTTTATGCAAGGACCACTTAGACATGTTAATTGCAGTTAGAATACTTGCTTGAGATAGCTTGTCAAACCCAGTAGCAGTTTGTGGACAGAGGATGCATGATGCCAAAGGAATAAATTGGAAGTTAGACGTCCTTTAATTACATTGACACCAGAATGACATCAACTTTGAAGTTACTAGGCAAAATGTTTATGAAAAACAGCAGCTAGTGTTACAATGACCATGTTGTCAAGCATGGGATGACGTGATGCCAGTGTATAAAGTAGCTCTGCAACCTGGAAGGTGCAGTTCTAAAGCAAGTATGGGCAGGTTATGCTTACCTGCCATGTTCCTAGTCAATCAAATCAATCACATGTGCTACAAAGATAATGGCACCATGAACTTTGCACAAAGAAATTGGAACTCGGTTAACCCAATACAGTTTATGCAAGAACACAATTACACCACATTAACCAAACTGCCACTAGAACATTTATCTACCAAGTATGAAATGGTCACAATAACGGAGCAGCAGTAGCTTGTGTAGAGGCTGCATTAAGTCAAACAGTTGATGAACAACTGAAGCCCCAAAAACTATCAGAGCAACGTGCGAGTTGCAATGAACTTGGGCTGTTCGTTAAATCTGACAAGTCTTTTAATGATAAAATGGAGGCTGTGCAGATAATTGGTACACGCAGTAACAGTGTGTCTGGTGTTAATAGTATCACAAGAATACCATCACATTTGGAGTTATTTAGCTAAATGGTTTTTATACAGCAAATGCTACGTACTGCAAGTCATGTAATGAGAATGAAAAAAAGAAAGCAGTCAGGCGGCCTCCTAAGTTTACACAGGAACCCCATGTTCACATATTATCAGATTTAAAACCTCTAGATTTAAGGCAGGAGAGGCTGATTGTGTCTAGAAATACCACATGCACATACTACCCCGTTTATCTGACCCGTTTCCCTTTCACCCTTCTTCTCGATCAAACTAAAGTGATGGGAATATATTGTAATACATACAGACTGGTCAGAAAATAAAGAGGATCACACAGTACACAGAAGCGAGAAAACAAAACAAAAACAAAAACAAAACTGAAATGTAATTTCACCGGAACACACAGGAACTTTTACTCATCAGGGCATGGGGTCTTACAAACCACTTAGTTCTAGGTTTTTTATGTTGTAATTTAGCAACACTGCTAACATACAGTTCTCTTTTCCGTCCAAGCTGAAACAGGATAACAATCATACTAGATTCCTTCTACTTCATCATGTAGTTATAGTCACATAGAAGAAAAAATATTTTCCCTTATCGTACAAAGAACAAAATATTCCATCTGATTTCCACAGTTGTGTGAATACATTTTCAGTATTACACTTCACAATAAAGCTCATCTAGCGAAATGAAAATATTTAACTCCTTAGCAGTTTACCCTGTCCCCTCTCTGATGACCTTTCACACTCCTCGTTTAAATCCATTCACCCAGGCAGCACGAGGAAGACTGACAGAAGAAGGATCTCTCCTCCTATTGTCACCTACTGAAGAGAAAGGGAGGAGCTGAATGAGGAGTCTGCATTGTGCTCTGCCAGAGAGCATGCAGTGTAATCAAGTTCAGCACAACCCTGGACAGCTGCCCTGTGACCGGGGTCAACCTGGACACAGCTACCCTTCACCTTTCTGAGGACTTTCTCCAGCGCTGTCACTCACTCCTCAATCCTGCCATGTATATGAACAGGACACTTCTGGGGAGCAGTCAATATACAATGGGCTCATCCCTTCATCAAAGCGATTCCCTTTCCATACACTCCTCTGCCCCCCAGAACAGAAAACAGATGGCCCATCTTAAATGTACAAATCGAAATTCATTGTGTTGTTAAATAAATGCCTTTGGAACACCACAGGGAAGCATGGGGAACAACATAGTTTGCTCACTCCATATTCCTGTCCCTGAAACAAGGTGAGCTGCGGCTTGGCAAAAATGTTTCCCTACACACAGAAAGAAGGAAAACAAAACTACAAACTGGAATTAGATGAATAACTGCATGCAGATGTAACTATACTGAACTTATCGTTACAGAAGTGACCAGATTTAAATGATTTAAACTCAGTCAGTGGTTATCCGTTACTAATTCCAGAAGAGTTTTACTTGGAATATTAGACTACTTAATCTTCAGCATTCTTGAAATCTGTCGAAAACAAAGGACTCAAAGAATGATGTAAATTTATATACAGTGGTGTGAAAAAGTGTTTGCCCCCTTCCTGATTTCTTATTTTTTTTGCATGTTTGTCACACTGAAATGTTTCAGATCATCAAACATTTAAATATTAGACAAAGATAACAAAAGTAAACACAAAAGCAGCAACAACTGCAATCAAGCATTTGCGATAACTGGCAATGAGTCTTTTACAGCGCTGTGGAGGAATTTTGGCCCACTCATCTTTGCAGAATTGTTGTAATTCAGTCACATTGGAGGGTTTTCGAGCCTTAACCGCTTTTTTAAGATCATGCCACAACATCTCAATTAGATTCAGGTCAGGACTTTGACTAGGCCACTCCGAAGTCTTCATTTTGTTTTTCTTAAGCAATTCAGAGGTGGACTTGCTGGTGTGTTTTGGATCATTGTCCTGCTGCAGAACCCAAGTGTGCTTCAGCTTGAGGTCACGAACAAATGGCCGGACATTCCCCTTCAGGATTTTTTGGTAGACAGCAGAATTCATGGTTCCATTTACCACAGCAAGTCTTCCAGGTCCTGAAGCAGCAAAACAGCCCCAGACCATCACACTACCCCCACCATATTTTACTGTTGGTATGATGTTCCCTTTCTGAAATGCTGTGTTACTTTTACACCAGATGTAATGGGACACACACCTTCCAAAAAGTTCAACTTTTGTCTCGTCAGTCCACAGAGTATTTTCCCCAAAAGTCTTGGGGATCATCAAAATGTTTTCTGGCAAAACTGAGACGAGCCTTTATGTTCTTTTTGCTCAGCAGTGGTTTTCGTCTTGGAACTCTGCCATGCAGGCCATTTTTGCCCAGTCTCTTTCTTATGGTGAAGTCATGAACACTGACCGTAACTGAGGCAAGTAAAGCCTGCAGTTCTTTGGATGTTGTTGTGGGTTTTTTTCTGACCTCTTGGATGAGTCGTCGCTGCGCTCTTGAGGTAATTTTGGTCGGCTGGCCACTCCTGGGAAGGTTCACCACTGTTCCATGTTTTCGCCATTTGTGGATAATGGCTCTCACTGTGGTTCGCTGGAGTCCCAAAGCTTTAGAAATAGCTTTATAACCTTTTCCAGACTGATAAATCTCAATTACTGTTTCTCATTTGTTCCTGAATTTCTTTGGATCGCAGCATGATGTCTAGCTTCTGAGGATCTTTTGGTCTACTTCACTTTGTCAGGCAGGTCCTATTTAAGTGATTTCTTGATTGAGAACAGGTGTGGCAGCAAACAGGCCTGGGTGTGGCTAGAGAAATTGAACACAGCTTTCCAAAGATGTGATAAACCACAGTTGGTTTATGTTTTTAACGGGGGGGCAATCACTTTTTCACACAGGGCCATGTAGGTTTGGATTATTTTTTTCCCTTAATAATAAAAACCTTCATTTAAAAACTGCATTTTGTGTTTACTTGTGTTATCTTTGTCTAATATTTCAATTTGTTTGATGATCTGAAACATTTCAGTGTGACAAACATGCAAAAAAATAAGAAATCAGGAAGGCGGCAAACACTTTTTTCACACCACTGTATACAGCTGTAGCAAATGTAAAACGTGACATCTGCCCTGCAAAGTATTTTACAAAATTCAAGGCCAGTTATGAAGTACAGCTAAGTTCGATAACTCAGCTTTAAAAATAAAAAAAATCCCAAATTATATTAGAATCCAAATCTAGCCAATTGACCTTTTTGCTCTAGTTCAACCTATAAAAAGCTAAATATATACAAATGCACCTTAAGAATCGCAAAAGTCAATTCAGAGATTAATACTATCATCATTAACAATAGTTAGAGATCACGTGGAACTACCAATAACAGCAGCGAACTATACCTCACAGTGTTTCAACCCCAAAAGGACAATTTTGATGTGAGAACAGCTCATAAATGCATTTTAGGACCGGTGGTCCCAGGCTTCACCACTTGAAGACTTAGAGCGCCATAAGAAACTTGGCTTACTATGCTAGACAATGCAGATGCTTCAACAGTGGGGGAAAAAATAGCCATCACTCCTTAACCATACACACCCAGGACACTATATGATTGATTTCTATCATTAAAATCTAAAGAGCCACTTTCTAGAGCCACATAGATCCAATCCAATAGTGAGACATTACGAAGCAATGTTGGAGTCAGAGATATGCCATGAACAAAACCCAACAAAATAATCTAGCACTGTTAGGAAGGGGTTCACGACAGGTATATGACATGGTCCTTTTGAAGAAAGATGAATGAATGCCAATGCATACTGTGTGCATCACACTACAAAGGGCAAGGCACATCTTAAACATACCTGTCTAAATGCATTCTTCTCTGGGATAATCTTCCTTGGAGGCTCTTCATTGTGGCAATCTTCTCTCTCAGCAGAACTCTGTTTCAAAGAAAAAGTATTGTAACTTTATACATGTTCTAAGATTGATACATTCCTTGCTTTAGGTCATTCACTAGGTTCTCTTGAAATAGGGATTATATGGTAAATCAGCATAATTGCCAGTAGCAGCTCAGAGCAGTCAACCCATGTGGTGTATATTTTTATTTCTTGGTGCTAGCAGTGTTTGCAAAACGTCCATTTCTCTACAAATCTGAATCAAATGTGAAGAGATCAGAACTTATAATAAAGGACATTTTTTGTTCGAGGGCGGCCTAAACAGCCTATCAAATAGAAGAGATTATGAAAAGTATTGGTTCAATAATACTTCATCCAAAATCGTGATGAAGCCAAAGTTAATGATATTCGGGCATGCAGTCCTAAATTACAGACAAGTCTTCTGGTAAAAATACTGTTCCTAAATTAAGACATGCACATCCTACAAATCTCCAGAGACTCTGCCCTAGAATTTTGCATTTCTAATGCCATGTGGAACATGGTTAAAGAAACCCACAGAGTAGCCCATTTTCCAGAGGGAAAAGAACGAGAAATGGTCATTTTCACATTGATTAGAAAATGCTGTAATTAAGTAACCTTGCAATGTAAATGAATGAGACGATCACTTAAAAATTCATTAACAATTCCCAAGCCTTGAGTACATAATCACTATGCTAATTCAGACATTAATTCCTAGTTTTAAAATGTCTTATTTTCAAGGCAGTTGTGTATTGTTCCATTAAAGTGACCCATAGGCTATGAAAGTTTCAAATAGAGTCTCACTAGTTTATAGGGACTAAAAAACAGCATTAGGAATGGAACTAGAAGAAATATACAGGACAAAATGCATCATGCTAAAGTACAGAGCTCTTTTAACAATTAAACCCCCCCAAAATCTTGAACCCTTCCATGTGAGCTAGGCTTTACTTCCAGATTTCTTTAATCTGCTAACAATTACAGATCAAACACTGTAATGCAGAAACAACTGCTTCATTCATTAATAAAGTCTTACAGTCATTTTTACATCTTGCAAGCACCAGTTGAAAAAGCTTAATCATTTGGTCTTTCACTTTAAAGCTTTTAAAAGGAAACCTTGTTAAAAAAGAAACATGGACAAAAAAAAACCCAAAAACAACAACAATACGACCTCAGAGCCATCAGTTTTCAAAGATTAGGGCAATTCTCCATGCAAATGTGACTTGTTATTGTTCCAGGCTCGTTAATCTCTCTGAAAGCCTTTGACAAACCTTTCTTTGATTGATTAACTCCTGACAGCTCCAATGTGTGTATATTTGCAAAGACTGGCATTATCATTAAGGGTGGGCGGGCAAGCAACTCGTCTATTTTATTCGCTGGAATCCCCCTGCTCGGCAGCTGAGCTTCTCCTGCACACAAAGCCCCCTCTGAGAGGCAGGCTTTCGCTTGCCCGCCCAGGCATTCATCATCCTGAAGTTAATTGGTGTGGGCTTTAAGCAAATTTCCAACACCATCTAAAGGCACGGTGACACTGACTGCTGACCTACTACCATACGGTACCTATTGATTAACCTGACGAAGCAGATGATTCTAATACAATCCCAGGCAGGAAGAAAAATATATTATTCTTTATGGGGAATATGTGCAGTCATCAATATGCAAGATAAATAAAGGGTGAGGTCTATTTCTGGAGATGTTTTTTTTTTATTTTTTCTTCCTGGAAGAACCAATAAAATACAAATCCCATTACAAATACGTAATGTCTTTTATTAATGCAAAACATTGACTACAAATGCCTACATATAAAGTAAACATTTTTAATTTTGAGATTTAAATAACGCATTTCAAAGGAATGATATAGCAAATGAGAAAAAATGTGCATGACTTAGCTAATTAAATAAAAAAAAACAAATGCTGGGATTGTTTTTTTTTCTCTCCACTTCAGAGAAAGTGCTTTTACCTGCATAGGATCCATGAAAAATATGTCTTCTGCTTGACTGGAAAGCAAAAGCGCACTGTATTTTACTGTTGAAATTAAAACCAGATGGAGATGTTCTGTATTAATTTCCATCAGCCTGCCACACGTGATTCTTCTCTGTGGCTGAAGAAAGCATTCATCTCAACACCGAATGTCTTTCCAGCCATAATGAATTCAAAGCAGTGACCCATCAAATGGAATAAAAAAAGCAATCTTGCGTTGTGACTCCACATTATCACTTTCCCCTGCCTCCACATAGATACAGAGAGATCTCAATCAGCAGAGAATGGGAATTGGTGACAGGCAGTCCATGGTAGGGTTAATTAAACACTTGAGTTTAACACCCTTCCTATCATTAACCAAACAAAAACAGATCATTCAAGCCACACTTCATCTCAGCACTCGGGATACACATGTCATACTGACGAGAGGTGCCTGGTCCCCAGTGGCTACAATGAGTTTAAATCTTATCTGGTTTATCAATTATTCCAGTGATTACCTGCAGAGATTACTCCTGACCCAAAGCATCACTCAAATTTACAACCCAATTCACATTTAAAGTGCAAGGGAATATATATATATCCACATACCATTTTTGAAATTAAACAGTTGCTTACATTAAGAAAATTACAACTGTGAAACGAGAAAACTCGTATTTCTGGGATGACTAATTCATTAAATTACTTCAGTAAGCACGTCGAAAACAGGTATTTATGGATAAGATTAAAAGGTAATTATTGGGTAAAACAGTTTATTAAAATACTATTACTAATTGGGATTAAAAAAAGTTGTTTAATGAAATCTATTTGATTGCTGTAGCTATTTGATCCTTTTTAATTTGCATGTAAAAAAAAACATTTCCTGGCGTCATTACGGCACTTTTAAACAGTAGGCTTTCCACTGTAGTACTTATCCAAGTCAAACTAGATTGCAGATAACTAATTTGCACGTTCAATGAATAGGCCTATAAGTACATGTAGCATTTAAATCTCCATTTCCACAGTAATATTGGTTTTAAAATGATTAGTGTTTTAGATTTATAGAAGAACAATGAAAATACTGAAGCATGACTTTCTTGACTATGAATTAATCACAGTGTGTGGCTTTGAAAATTGTGATCACTTTCTACCATTTAAGATTACTATTTTTAAGATATGTTTGAAACAATTTTAGAAAACTGTCTAAATTCCAACTATTTCTTGACAACTTTTCCTTCTCTTGTCAATCAATACCTATATTTCCATCAAAAGAACTGGCAGGAAAGTAAGCAACGTAGAAACCTATACCTTCTACTATAAGGGACACGTTTTCTTCATGCAAAGAGTTCCTTCTAAATGCTACTCCAAGACAGTCCCTGAGCTAACAGGAGAAGCTGATTTTCTTTGTCCTGCAGGCTGTGTGGGTAAAGTGAAAATATTTTTGCACTCCGCTCTAGGAAATGTGGTATTTGTAATTGTATTCATTGTAAAGAGTTAGTTCTCTGCAGCTGTTTTCAACTCACAGTGTATTTTGTGTGATCAGCACACTGCCATAAATATGTTGGCCACTGCCCTCCGGGTACCTGTCAGTATTTAATTTACACAGTACAACTCAACTGCTGTGAATTCTTAAGCTGTTGTGCTGGGATAATAATCTAAGACATAGCATAAATGCAGAGAGATGGCAAAAAGTAGAAAAAAACCTATACCTTATAAGGAAACTTATGAAAATGTTCAACAATTTTCACAATTCAGCACTTTCAAACTAAACAGTTTCCCTCTGGTACAACACTCCATCAGAAGGTGTCTATGGCAACCAAGTTACTATTTAATTCAACAGTTCTCTCACAGAAAAGCAGTTGGTTAAATACCTCTATATAGCAGCATAACTAGAATGTGGATCTTATTTCTGAACTTCCTGCCCACAAGAATGACATTTGAAATTTAAATATTTGAATCTCACTTATGTCAAGCACTACTTTGACAGAAAGAAAAATGACAGACACCTGTCAATTCACCTGAAAGTACAATTTAAACCTGTATTTTATGAACTTGGCTCACAAATAGTATTGAACTTAATGGAAAGATATCTAAATGCAAGGATTTATAAGAAAAATAATTAACTCACTGCATTCAATGTATAAAAGTGCAGTTCAACAATACAAAAAGTTTAAATTTGGGATGCTTTTGAAAATTACCCTTGTGCCTCTTATTTGTTAAAGGCTCTACTGCATTTTCAAACTTGTCATTTCAGCACAACTGCAGAGTCCTGAAACAAAACATAGCTTAAACCGTGATTCTATGGGCTAAACCCACCCCCCAAAATTAAAAATGTAACACAGAATGTGATGTAAGAACATGTAAAAAAGGAGAGCAACAAATTCTAGGAATTGAAAGATTCCTCACACTTTAGGATTTTCAGCACAGTGATATTCCCAGGAGGGTGTGCAATAGCTCCAGAGGCCACTAGATAGCAGTGCACTACAGAGTAAAATCTACCACTCCTGCCCTTGGATGTCACTTCAGTACATATAAGGCTGACTGCATCTCCAAAGACCAATTACTTCTAGTGACAGGGAACAGGAGGACACAGGCACACAAAAGACAAGGAAAGAGGGAAGGGGAGAGAGAGAACAAATACATAAAAGCTGTCAGAATGCAAACTCCCAACAGAGGCGAAACTACATAACACAAGCTTTATTCTTTTACATATACAAAGGCATCAAAGCAAGTCCTCAAACTTTTAGATGTTGTATAGTTTTATTAATTGGTTTTAGCATGAGGTGCGTCCATACCGGAACACCTCTAGTATTTTCTTCATATGCAAGAAATAGCTCACAGCCAGTGCCAAATCTTTTTAGCTGAACTGGCCTTACATTTTGTGATGTGATAAATACTAGACCACTTCACAGCTTTAGCAAGGCACACTGGTGTCATTCTGCAGGCTCTTTCAGACAGACGTACTGTACCTTTCTCAAATCCCATTAGCTGACAGGCTGTTGGAACAGCTTGAATGTGTGAAACTCATGCTTCAGGGATCAACCCAAACTGGAAGTCTGGCACAGCATCAACAAAGCAGAAGCCTTTTTCTTCTTTGATAAAATAACAGGCAGTACACATCTCTTGACATGTTAAATTTAGACATATCACAACAAATATGTAGTCAGGAAAGAACACTGCAAATTAATATTTTGTTTGTTTTTCATATCTAGCATGTCATTACAGAACCATAACTGCTGGTGCACCAGGGCTAATTTCATTACAGGATCCATGTATTTACTTCTGTGTACAAGAAGGTGCTTAAATCTGATTTTTAATATCACAAAAACAACGCTTGCCTTCAAAAGTGATACCATATTAATGAAACATTCATAGCTTTGTATAAATCTAAATTTCATTCATTTAGAGCTTGAAATATTATATAATGTATATGTAACAGATACAGCTTACTGTTACAGCCAGTGACAGCCCCTTTCTCTGCCAGGATAAGGCTACCTTCCCCAAATAAAATGCCAAAGTGGGGAGTGCTGAGCACAAGGGAGATGTTGAAAGTGATAGAGGTCAGTCCCACAGAAAGGATAAACACACAGGCAACATGACCCTACTCTCTTCCATATTATCATTTATAGGCAATCTTGGACACGTTACCATTTTTTTCTTGGCTACTGCAGTGGAAAAATGAAATTAAACACTTGGACTGAGCGATTGAAACCCAGATCCAATTTGTGTTTTCATCTCAGAAAACAAAAGCCTTCAGTGAGGCCCTGGGGCCGTCATTTCAGCTCCCAGAGTCCTGACATTTTTACCAGAGAGCGTGCTGGACAGAATGATCTGATACAAGCTCTGCCCCGACACGTCAATCAGACAAACAGTGCACTATACCTACAGCGCACAGGCCTTACTATATAAAGACACAAGTTGGATACGACAGCAATAACTCAATGGATTTGGGGTATATCATATTAATTATGAGCAAATCAAATGAACGTTAAACTTGATTTCAGTCTTCACCAAATTACTTACTGATCCTCCCATGGGTTCTCCAAGCCTAACTGAACAATTAAATTTCAGTAAAAACGAGAAAACCTATCGTGAAATTAATCTCAACTAGACCAAACAACCATTTATCTAGGGTCACAATTTGAGAAGGGACAAAACACACACCCGTTGAGTAATCCACTGTAGATTCTTCTTATTTATCTCAAGACAGAATGCAGCTCTAGACAGATGTTTCAACATTGTGTAAAGGTAACCCTAACTTTTTAAATGAGGTTTAGACAAGTCAACCTCACAGACTAATCCATCATAATGAATCTATTATCACAAAGGAAGCCAACATATGGCCTGACTACGTAAATACAAATCCTAACTTCATCATACAGTTGTTTTAAATATTGAACTAATGGCCGCTGCAAATCAAGAAGGAAGTAAAGATCCTCGATATTAGGAGTTACATAGCATCAAAGAGAGACATCAGTTTACCCCATCCACGACAATTACACCAGAAACTATGGTTCTAACCTTTCACAGCGCTTTCATAGACTACAGATCAAAACCATAATACCAGTATGACCCAAGACAGTGCTCTCCATAATACCAGTATGACCCAAGCTGCATAATATAAGATTAACACTCTCTCCAATACTCTGGTGAGACTCAACATGGTTGACATTGACGTTGTTTGGTTTTGGACCAAACAACGTCAGTCATACAACTCACATTTTTGATTGAGATAAAAAATGCATAAGACATCAGGATGCCACACTAACTCCACATTTGTCTTATGGCTACGTGCTCCTAGCTCAAGATAAAGAATACACTTAAACATATAATTCTTCAAAATTTCATTGCGCACAATGTATCGATTCATAAAAAAAATCCATGAATTTCAATTAATCACATTTGCTTTTCATGTCCTAATGCTCACATTTGCTCTTTTGTGTGTGAAACAATTTAACTGTCAGCTTCTTCTCTGTTTTAAAATCTACTGCCCAGGCAGAGGTTATTTTTTGTGATGGTCATTATAATATAATGTTTTGATTAATGTTTAATTTTTTTTGCACTATCACTGTAACTGGTAGGTATAGTGCACATGATGAGCACAAAATGACATGGTGTTTTTTCAACTAGTTACAAATGGGCAAAATAATCATAATGAAATGTAGATATGACATAAGCTAATACTTTCTTTCAATATTCCACCAAGGCAGGCACTGATGTTGGCAGTATGCTGCAGTGGTGTTATAACGAGCGATAATCACATATCAGATAAAATCCATTACTTAAACTGAGAATATATTTGGTGCCTTCTTGTAGGCTGATGTAAGCAAATCTTAGCAGCTTAGCTGGGTCTAGTCAGTAATCACAAGGGAGACCTCCAGTAAAAATCACGGTTGCTAATTTAAGTGGTGCTGGTGGGCCACCTGCCAGAATTCACACAAATAGCAATATCCATGGATGTGACTGGGCATATTGTACTTTAGAAGGTGATGTCTCATGGAAGAGATGTCTAAACTGGGGTACTAATAGCACTGTTCACAAGAGAAGGGATGTTATTCTAAGTGTCTCAGATAAACCCATCTCTGGATTTGGTACAATCTGACCTTTTTTGGTCCCTCTTATTTCATTTAATGTTGTAAAAGGAACCTATTGGCACTTGATGGCTTGAGTGTGACACCCAAGTGGTTCAGTGGCTGATCACATCTCAGATGTAAACTGTAAACTTTCAGGAAAGAAAATGCTAAATTTGTTCTAAGGAGTGGCAGATATGGAGCTTTAACTCTTTGCTGTGTGTCTAACATCCACTTGTGAAGAATAAATGGTTTGGGAAGCAGACAAAAAAGCAGTGCTTCAGATATTATCTGGTACATCTGGAGAATGAAACAAAACTGAAGTGAATGAACAGTTGAAGTGATGTTCACTTACCAAATTATTTTATTCATTATTCCTCAACTATAATTCTGTCAGGAATTGCTACTCATTATTGGATCTGATCTAAAGAAAATCGGAAAATTCATAATGATCTATTGCCTATTTCCAGGTTGTGGTCCTCATATGTCATTTTACTGTGAAGACAGACATAGCTTATACTATAATGTCCAATCCTTCAAGTACACGATCAGACAGATGTGACTGCTGAGAAGCACTGAAGAATCCTAAATTAGTATTTATAAACTCAGGAAATATAGGAACAGCTAAATAAAATGCTTTAAATAAAAACACATTTCACCCTGATGTACAACAAGGCCTGGGATTACCCAGCTGTCTGGGCATAACTGGCAGATCACTAACCAGGTAGGGATGGGATTAGTAAAACACATCTGTTGGATTTCAGAAAAACTGTGACTTTTGTGAATAATGCAACATCCTGGGGGTTTGATTTGACATTAGTGAGGGATGTGCTGTTCCACCAATCTATGCTAAGTCTTTGGTCAGGCATAGTAAAGCCTGCAATTTAAAAATGGCTCTGCTGATGAGCATGTTGGAAGAACACTTCTAAATGTCCAATTCAAAGAGAGTAAAGGATCTATTGCCAGAGAAAGTCACAAAGAACAACAGATGATTCCAAATTGGATGGGTTGACGCTCAACAAGCTAAATGTGGAAAACAACATTCTTTCCCAGCAAAACATACATTAATGTTTCCTTAAAAATATGTCTCAGATCAGTAAGGATCGCTATCTATCAAGTTCTAAATATAAAGGAAAGCAAGAGTACTCCAAAGTCTCCAGTCACTGCTATGTTCCGAGTAAAGTGACACTAAAAAATGTCAAAAATAATAAAAGCAAGAAGAGAATGATGAATGTATGAATTCATGAACCGCAAAGCACATTAAGCTCCAGAATTAGTAAAGGACATAAGAGTACCTTAGGGACAGATATGAGCATTAGTAGTCTAGCCATGCTCGCCAACTAGCGCTGACAGTTAAGGCCATCAACCACTGCCCAACAGTACAGCTGTATGATAGACACATTTTCACAGTTCTTATAGCACTGGAAAATAAGCTTAAATTGTTTCTTAATTTGATCTTATCTAACAAAGTAATGTCATCATACTGGCTAAACGCATATCGATAACTGCAACGGGTTGTGAAAAGGAGACTCAATAGACACGAGATACTCAAAACAAACGTATCCAAAGTCAGACAGAGAGCGCATGTAAACCACATAACCATGAAACCTTAAGTACACTGAAGAAAGGCAAAGTTATGGGAAAGCAACCTAGGGACTATAACTACCAGACTATATTTACAGCAAGGCAGAAAAATCCTAACAACCCCCTAGCTTCTGATTACAGGTTTAAAAGAGTTTTCATCCCCATTTAATAATGAACATGGAGGTGTATAATGGCCGGTACAGGTCGTCACGAAGGCAAAGACCTCCCACCTATTTGGAGGAGTGAACATATCACACTTGCCTGATTGCATGAGGCTGTCCTTCAGGGACATCAGTCATGAACAGTCAGTCATTAAAGACTGGGCCCATAGCTGGCAGTGACAGCTGGTGAAAGTGGGAATGTTGAGTGTGATGGGTGTGGGATAGAGTACCTGGAAAGAGTTCAATGTGCCAGTCCCTGGGGTGTGCAGGCATCGCAGCGAAGGCATGCTGTCCGCCAGGCTGGAGCAACCCAACCACAGTGACCTGGGCACAGAGCACTGCAGAGAGAGGACAAGCATGAGATGGGATAGAGTGAGGAAGGGTGGCAAAGAGTTCAGCCAATCAGCACTCGCTCGGAGAGCAATATTCCCAGGAGACCAGGCAAAAAATGTCACGCCAGTTTTATTTGTACAAAAAAAAAATCAAAGGACACCCATTTCACAATGATTAAGGCCCAATTTTAACGACATTAATAAGAAAAACTCGAATACGCACTCATACGTAAATTACAGGCCTACATTTTGTGCCACAGACACAGTCCCTTAAAACAAGTCTATCTTTTCAAACATCAGCACGACTAAAGTGGTGTATTTCTGTTATGTACTGCATAATAAATTACAACTTCTCAGAAATCGGACAGCAATTGAAAAGTACAGACTGGATACAAGAGGCAGCACTGCACATTAGAAGTACACTGTACTGTGAAATTATTGTTTTTGTCAATAAGGTGCTGGTTCATTTTTGGCTTATGCCTTAAAGATGATATTGTATCAGACACTAACTGTACCATCAATAGACTGAGTTCTCAAGGAAAATACAATAACAAAACCACATTCAGCTTGACAGGCTTTCAAGCTAGCCCCCATGTCATAAAATACAAGTTTTCGACAGCAGCAGTATGCAGTATACTCCACTTAAAAATATCAAAAGGAAATTTCGAACCATGGCTTGCAGAGAAATCGCATTCTGCATTATCATAATTATGCAGCCACTAGAATGATACATACTAAGATGTTTTTGTTACAGGACATGATTCACCAAGGACACGAATACCTGGCGTGGGCATATAAACCAAAACCTCAACAAAGCAGTCTGAAGCTGGTTTACATGTAAATAAGACAGGCTAAATTTCAATTAGCACAGAGCTCCCCCAAGACAGGCAATTTTAAAGATCCAGAAAAAAATGGAAGCTAGGCAAGTAATTTGGTTTCTACAAGGATCCCACATTCCAAAAATTAAACACTGCCATCTGAGAAATGTCTACCAGAATTGGAGTTAAATGGCCAATAGTACAATCTGTGGTACAGGACACACACCAACAAAACAACAAAGTAATTGGCATCCTGATGTATGAAGGGATCCTAATTTGCTATACTCTTAACAGCAACGTCATTACAATGATATACAACAGGTTTTCACTGGCAAATTCTTGGAAGAAAAACAGCACTACAAGGCACCAATTCACCAAACAGGTGATGAACTACTGCTGCAATGCACTAGGTGCAAGACTGAAGGAGATGTCAGCGTGATAAACCATGTCATGTTTCAATTCAATCTGTGCAGCATTTCCCCCAGAAAGAGACGGTTTCCAAGCTTCAGGAAAAAAATGACAATTCTTTATTGACAAAACAGTATGCTGATGTTGGAAAACAAAATGGCGGTCAGGCAGCCATCTTGGTTTAAATGAGAACCTGCTTTCAGCATGTTAACTGTATTCGTGGGCCAGTAACATCTACTGAGTCTACTGAATTAAATGCCCAAGTGTTTGCTCAGAAACAGTCTGTGTTTTGACAAGACAACTAAATAATATTCAGAAAGTCAAGAAGGCTAAGACAGGAGTGCTGTTCTAACCAAATTATAATCATCCTGACAATGTTTATCAGATTTGCACTTACCCAATGTTTCTGAAGAAACGTTTTTCACAAGCAGCTGATTTTACAGTGACCATGTTCTTGAATGTAGCAACCTGAACAACCTTGAGAAGGGAACCTGGCCTGACTTATGTAGTTATACCAAATCTCATTCCAGTAGGCCAAACCGTTTGAAAGATGTCAAACATTTATTGCACATCTCACACTGTGCAAGCCATTGGGCAGCCAGACATTGTGACTTCTCAGTCTCACTTTCACCAAAACAATTTCTGATAGGCCATCACAATCCTTTGAAAGTTCATTCATTTTTGTTAAACAATAATGATTTTCTACACATTTGGAAATGTTGGTAGATGAATAAAACAAGCAGAACAATAACAATAAGTGTCCAGTAATGTTGCCTGGAAGCCTGAGAGGACCATCCAACAATAGGGCAAACAAACACAGCTGTAATGAGTTGTGGACTGAACCTGACAAGTGAGAATTCAGTACTGTAAATACTCAGTCTGAGTCAGAAGAACTCAATATAAATACAAACACTACTGAGATGAAAAGAAACCTCTTACAAAGTCTACAAAATCTGGGAATTAATATTTTTAGTGGTGCATGCCAAGTTAATGTACCTTAAACCATATCACATATGCAAATATCTTATATTTACACTATACATATAAATAATGTTTATTTAGACTATGAATATGAATAATATTTGTTTTTTAAAGGGGTAAGCCCACTTGCAAAGCCAAATCTGTGCATTGAACTACTCTTTAATACCAAAGGTAAGTATTTAAGTGTTGGCAGTCTTTTGAAGTGTGGTGTGGATTACAATTCTGAATTACATTGAATTCTCATTTTATGTCAGAATTCAATATAATCCACACTAACCTGTAATTATTTCAAGATGAAACCTCACTGTTCAAGATATCTGAAGGACAAAACCATCAATTAAAAGAGCGTATCTGTAGTTTATATTCAACACAGACAACATTAAGACTTAATTATACGTGACCACTTGTGCTGAAACACAACACAGGACACGTCAAGGAAAAATATGAAATACATCCACCAGTAAAACCTAACAAAAATGGCCTATATGAAAGACACTATATCCAACATCTAAAAAGCTAATATAAGAGTATAGTCTACACCTCAATTAAAGTACACTTCAATAAAATTGATACAAATATTAGTTGACGTAACATAAATTCAAGCGCAACGAATCAAGCATAATGTAAACACAGGCCAAAGCTAAACATCCACTGGGCAGAAAAACACATCGATTACTTCAAGCAAACAACTATCAAGATCAACACACCAACACATAATATTCATTATATTCTCTTCCCTGAAAAGATCTCATTTAGCTTACGGATTTTTTTCAATAAATAAACGTAAGTTTATTTTGTCTGTTTATTTATCATAGTCCAAGATGGCGGCTTGACCCACCGGTACATTCATTTCCAGCACAAACCGCTATGGACAAGCCCAAACCTTCATCTCATTTGGGTTCTGTCGAGTGTCAGAAACAGACTTTGCCCTGTCATCTCCTCACCATAAACTTCAGAGCCTTCTCTTGCAGTACCGTCTCTGGTTCCATCGTCAGTCTGTCCGGGACTGGTTCTCTCTCAGCCCCGGGACCTGCGTCTCTCCACTGCCGCTGCTGCAGACAGGAAAATCCGTTCCACGGCACTCACCCCCCAGCGGCCCAGGCTGCACGGCTGAAACAGAATTGTGGGGTTTGAAGTTTCTTCAACCCTAAATATTGTGTATGCTCATATCTCAAACACTACAAGTCCCAGTGGCGCTATAAAAGCCTTTGATGCATTCTGGTAGTTCCTGTTTTATTTACAATAAGCCTTTACGTACTACAAATCCCACTAAGCGAGTGCGTTACTCTGGGATGTGTAGTTTTTCGATCTTTTGTTTTGTCGGTTAGTTACGCATTTAGTATAATAACTGGATACATATTTTAATCTAATATTATTTTTTTTAAAAGCTGAAATGCGATAATTCTGCTATTGTAGTATGTCTCGTGTTTTACATACAAGCGATATTTGATTTAATATGGAACAATTAAAAAAAGAAACATTAAACACTGGTTTGGCCATATCCAGTTTGTCATATATAGAAGTGGACACAATCGTGGAATTATCCAGTGGTGTTATATATGACAGCACAGCACATGTGTATATTCTATCATGTGTACTGATTACATAATAAATACGTGTATTGATAACTACCCAAGAAGTGAATAGTTAATGTGCAAATTCCATTCTGAACGTCTGCGTAGTATCGTATACGGATTAGGTTTTCCGGTCATTTAACCATTCTTTATTTTAATTTCTACTTTTATTCTCCATGGATTCTTGTTCTATGCTGCAATGCTCTTTTGATCTGGTTCTGCTATGGTATGCCATAATATGCTTTTATGATGTGCTGTATACTAAGTGCGATGTTAAAGCTGTATTATTATGAACTGTAAAATTGCTTTATTATTAATTTTAATTCATTGTTATTTAAAAAAAAACACATAAAATATTGCTTCACGTCGTTTGTATCCCGGATTCGTTTCATGCTCTCTCAATTTTAATGTCTGCTTTTCCTGGGTGTTCTAGTTTCCTCCCACCTGCCAAAGACATGGTGGCCAGGTTAATTGCTGTCTTTAAACTGTAGCTGCACCTGTGAATGTGTGTCTGTGCTCTGAGACTGGTGTCCAGTCTAGAGAGTAGTACTGCGTTGTGCACTATGTTTTCAGGATAACTCCAAGCAGCCCTTAGGAATAAGGTGCTCCTTGATCAAGAATAGATGGAACTCCAAATATACAGTTTGACATTACAGTGATAGCACTATTATAATTTCAGTTATTAGTAAACATATTACATGAAGTTAGGTGAATAGTACATAAGATGGTGTTCAATTAATTGCATTATTATTATTAGTCATACTGTATATTGCTTTAATTAGTAGATGTCTGAATTTGAACCCAATGATAATGTTAAAAGCACAGCTAATACACTGTGGCTGCAACTCTGGTGTCCTGGAAAGAAAGGTTTCCAGTAATGTACGGAAACTTTGCTATTTATGGTTGTGTCTCTACTGAAAATAAATACAATTTATTACATTTGATATGATATTTTAGCAAACGTGAACCTTAGTAAGTCAGTCCTGGAATTTTGTGGTGGTAAAATAGGACCAGTGGGACAGCTTAAGGCAAAGCTACAAAATAAAGGTAGTCCACTTTTAAAGTTTGACTAAAATCAGACAGGCACTGAGACAAGGCCAGTATGAGCTCTTCAGTGTGCAACTACAGTATGTATGGGGTCTTAAATTCAAACACCTTGACTAGATTTCTGCTACATCATAAGATAAAATTATTTCATGCGCAGATTCTAGGCTTGCTGTTTTGAAACTGTCTTATTACTGTCAACAGGCTCATGTACTATTGACAGATAAAATCAGAGAACAAAATACCAATCCAAACAACTTCCTAGCAAATCAAACCATCGTCCATATAGTTTCTAGTTGTTTGGGGTTGCCGCTGTGTGACCGTACCTCAACACTTCTTATCAATAGCCTTTCAGATGTTTTTCCAATGTATCATTAACAATTAAAGCCGTAACTGTTGTATACCATTTAAATAGTATGCCCATCTGATCCTCTATCCTAGCACAAGTAGCTCATGTCACCACCGAGAAAGTCAAGAAGTGACAAGGATTTCCAGGTCAGAGCTGCATTATTGTTACAATGACCATCATTTGTAATAGTACAGGCTCTAGTATTATAGTAGTAAGCATGGCTGTGGTTGCAGTGGTAACATTGATGTAGATTGTTCAGGTTGGTATCAAAGCATTGTTCTCTTGCTAAATCTATGCTTTAGTACATTTAGTAATATTTTAGTAATATATCCTTTCTTTTACTTCTTTTCTTATTCATAGGTGCAGTATAGATATTAAGGACTATTCCCTTTATTGCCTTTTCATTATTATGATCCATGTTGTGGGCATATCCAGCTTGCATTTGTCATTTAAACTATATTCCAAAACAAAGTAATCATAAATAAATCTTTGTGCACATTAATTATTGTTAATAATAATAAATGATTAAACTTTTCAACAGTGTTCATGAATATGCAATCATAGCTCCCATGAACAATTGACAGATTTATAGAAGAATCAACAAAATGAGGTGTATGATTTCTCTTGATTTATGTCAGCAGAAGAAAGGATTATTTATTGCCAGGCTGCTGGACTGGAAGATTCATCCTCTGTAAGAATCCGATTGTACAGCAGACACTGTGCGGGAACACAGCTATGACTAATGGCTCCTTTGCATAGAAATGAGAACTCATGGACCAAGAACTGTAAAAATACAATAACTCAATTGACAGCTGATCTCTTTATCATATGCATAGGCAAGCAGCCTATTAATTTTTAACAGACAAATAGTGAAGTTTTTTTCTGGCTGCTTTTTTTTTCTTAACACAATGAGCACCAAGTATAAAATATACATTTTTTTCTGTACTTACGAGTTTATTCTAGAGTGCAGCAATGCATAGCTGGAGGGTATTCTGTGCCAATGTGAAACATATAGTGTTTCTTGAATTCTTTAAAGGACCAGTTTGAATCAACTTCCCCTTCCTGCTATATTCATCCTGACTTGTTTTGTGCCTTGTTGTGGGAGCAACCTGCTGGGGTTTCTATCTACATGTTTGTTTTTGCCATTAAGTGACTATCCCAGTAAGGACGGGTTCTTGAAGACAAGGGTTTTCCAGAAGGCCCACCAATCTTAGGACATTTTGAAACAGGACATGTTTTCTACAGTCATATCTAAGATGAGAAGTGTTTGCCTTAATTACTGTATATTTTTGCTCAATTTCTAGATGACAGAATTATTTAAAGTATGATACTCATAATTAAGTTCAGAATTGCTCCATTAATTCAGTACAAGACTGGACTTCATTGCATTAAGTTTTCAGAAAAGTTCTATCTGAAGTTATTTTTTCTGGAAAGGGTAGCTAGCACAGCAAATAGCAATCTAAGCAGAATAAAAAACATCATGAAAATAAAGAAATAAAAGGATATAAATATAAGGATATAAATAAAAGGAAAAAAAAATGGATAACATACAGTATGTCTGTAACTCCATGAGTCATGGATATATACAGGGGTGTAAATTTCCAGGAGGAAATAAATGTGGACAGTCCTCAGCTTCATGTGTCTAGTTGTGATGCTCAGAATATCTTTCTCTTGCTCTCATGGATGAATTGTAAATTTGAACTGAAATGTAATTTGTTAGGCAATCACCTCACCGCAGGAGCCAGCAGAAAATGAGCCTTTCAACTAATTTCACATGGGCTATGTTTTGCATAATTTAACATAATAGAGTCTTATACCATACTTTAGATTAAAGATGAGTAGTGAATTGTAAATTATATACATATACTTTCTACACACAAAAAGGATGGAATAAATGTCTGGTCCTTTGCTTTTTTTTCCCCTCAATTCCCTTGGTGTAAACTGTTTTACTTCCCAGGATTTAGGGACAGAAAAGAACATGACATATTTTACAAATATTCTGTTGAAAAGGGCTATGTAGGATATGGTCCTGTGATTGGATGTGCAGTGTGTAGTTTGGGAATGTTGCAAACTAGTTGGTTTTTATCCATGGTTGGAAATACAGCCATAAATGTACAATTAACTAATACCAGGCCACAGAAAAAGCAGGCCTGCCCTGCGTTTCTTTAGTACTTTAGTGAAAAAATAAATAAAAAGGCCATTGGATGCTGTTAGCAGAAGTTTTTAGACTTAACTGTCTTCTCCCTTTCCAAATGTACAGTTTGGTGTTTCAAAAAAAGTGTTATATTAAATCTTTACAGCTGAAAGGAAAAAAGTTATGATTTTACATAATTCGATTTTAATTAGTCCTTTTAGTCAATTGTAACTCCTCTATTTTTGAAGAATTGTAAAAATATAGTTGATCAAGCACCTAGTTCAATTAAGTGCACAGATGAGATGAAAACCACAAATCCCTGTGGCTCCTGTGCCACAGACAGTTAAGAATCACTGACACCATACTTGTGTTGATGACTTAACCCAAAGATGACCACCTCCAGCCCTCACGTTTTTTTCAATCTATTCTAGCTGTTTATTCCAAATAAGGCTTATACATAAAACTTTATTACGTAATTTTTCTACTTAAAAAAAGAAAGCCATTGACGTTAAGACAAGGTAAGACACTCAAGACGGTGTAATATTTAAATGAGCAGGAAATGTGAGAAACCATTTTGCCTCAATTTAATTACATAATTTCTAATGTTCACTTTGTTTCTTGTCTTGTATTTATTCCACTTAATAGTTTTGAATAGCCCATATGTTACTTTATATCTCGGCTTCCTTTGAAAATCATCTCCCCTGCCAATAATTCCTATCTCCTACTAAGCCAAAATAACATAGATCTCACTTCATTACTTCATACATTTAGCCCTACAAACCACAGGAGAACTTAATGTATTACCTCCAATCTTTCCAAATACTTCAATACATAATATAAATACTGTAAGTACTCTTTATTGAACAGAGGCTTTTTTCAATATTCCTATACACTCACATGTTGACATAACTACTTTCTAACGATGTTTTCTATGTTGTTTGTCTGTTTCTCTGAGTACAAGAGGAATCTGTATTTGTCCACCGCTCATCACAATTT